GCGCGGCGACGCTGGCGGCTTCCCACGCCTCCCACTGCGCGACCTCGTCGTCGGTCCGGAGCTTGTCCAGCGCCAGCCAGAGAATCACGTAGGCCACCAGCGCAACGCTCGGGAGTATGACAAGCCACTGGACGACGCTCGGGACAAGCGCGCTGCCGACGGTGAGGACGGCCAAACCCAGTGCTGGTCCGAAGCTCTCAAGCTGCGAGCGCGAAAAGCTCCGACGTCTGCGGTGAAGGATGAGGAGCGCTTGGTGGTTGGCGATGCGGCCAATCTTGTCGGGTGACGCGTAGTCGTCGGCGGTCACAAACGAGAGATCGATGCGCGGCGACGAGTAGAGCAGCGTGCGGTCGAGCCAGATCGCGAGGTACTGGACGAGAATGATCAGGACGCACAGCCCGCGGCTGAACGGCTCGTTGAGCGTCGCTGTGATAACTTCATCCATCCTCTCGAGCTTCCTTCAACGACTAATGTCGAGTGAGAGACGACCCATCCAAGTACGAGTTGTCGTTGGATTCAACAGTGCCGTTGGGTTGTGGTCCGTTCTTTGGCACGACGGCGAGGCGTGCGCCACGCTAGCCCCACGCGTCTTCTCAGCAGAGCGAATTGGATGGACGTCTCGGCTCTCTTGCGGCGACGGCTAGACCTCGACCGACTACCGGTAGCTGTCAAACGACAAAACACGATTGAACCCTAACCCTTTCACTGCAGTTCGCCACTGGAGATTCGCATATTGCAATCAACATGACCGAGAGCATCCTCCCGTACGTGCTCTGCGTGAGCTTTCCATTGGCGTTGTCGCTTGTCTCGGCTGTGCCCAACCGCTGTCTGCCGTGGCGTCTCGACGCGCCGGCTCCGATCACGCGGCCGACGGAGCCCAATATGACGGACGAGGACGAGTACAACTACTACTTGAGTCAGCACACGCGCGTTCAAAAGCGCGAGAACGCCGTCTTCAACGAGATGAGCAAGCACTCGGCCTCGATCGGTCTTGTTCTCTTTGTCCCAATGCTGCTCGAGTGGCACGCCATCGTCGTCGTCCTCACCGTCGTCTGCGTTGGCGTCCACAGTCGCCTGTTCATGACCCTCGACAGCGCGCGCCGCACGCTTGCGCTCGAGCGACTGCTCTGGGTCGCTGCTAACGCCCGCGTCCGCCACTTTCTTGAGCATGAGACGCCCTTAATTTCGCTGAGATGCCATTAATTTCGCAAACAAACCAAAGTTGGTCCATGTCGCGAGCCTCCGGGAAGGACGTCGTCAAGAAACAGCGCTGCGTGAACCACCCACTTTAACAACAACAAACAACGTACGAGCTTGGCCTCAAATCGCGAGGCGTGGAAGGACTCGACGGAGCGTCTCGTCGTGGCCAGCGCCTGAGCGATGACAGCAAAGAGAACGCTAAATACGTTTCTATAGCAGTGTACATCCAAGGTAACGATGTGGTGGCATTTCGAGCCCGAGGTTCATCGTGTACAACATGGACCCCGGAGCACACGCAACAACGACACGAGGTCATCGACCATCATCAATCACTTGTTGACGGGACGACATGCATTCCTGTGTGGACAATATGTCCACTCGCGTGCCGACCGATTGTAAGACGTTGCTGACGTTTGTTGGGTGCAGTTTCCAATTCGACGAGATGCGCTACGTACCTCCTGCTATCGCTGCAGACCAGTGACGTGACGCGCGAGGCGCCAACGTCGACATCGATCACGAGCGCCTCGACATCTTCTGGAAAGCCATCCACGACAAGGACATCAACCAAGTCCTGGCGCACGGCTGGCTATACCACCTGCACACAATGCATGCCACGAAGAAGACTGGACGTCTGCGACTGCTGCTACGGCTTGACCACCCACATTGCGCGACTGCATGGCGACGACGACGACGGCGACTACTAAAACGACAGGCCACATCATATGCGTCGCTCAATGGCTCTAGATTCTTCGTTGAATAGTTACTGTGTGGAGCACGTTGTCATGAGAAAATGCGGCCCTAACCCTCATCCTCTCGCCCACGAGAAGCCTCGAGCACGGAATGACCATGTAGAATCGATTGCGGAAACATCCAATGAAATGCATTTAGTGACGGCTTAATGCAGGTCCGTGAACACGTCGGCGCCCCCACTCCGCGCAAACTCCTTGTCTTCTGGCGTCTCGTCGTCGTCGTGGCCCGTGATGGGCGAGACGGGCACGCTGTGGCTCGAGTCCGAGCTGCTCTTGCCGCTCGGCGCCTTGTTGGTGCGAATGAAGAGCGCCGTCTCCTTGGGCTTGACGTACCCGCCGCGGTAGTAGCTTGAACTCGACGACGGCAACGACGGGCCATAGACGTTCATGGCCGCGGCCGACGGTGTGCCGCCAATCCCGAGCATGTCATTTTCGGTCGCTTGATCGATGAGTGCTTGGAGCGCGATGGACTCTTCTTTCGAGAGCTCTTTGAGTGGCACGCGCGTGTCGGCAATGACGAGCCGGTCTCCGTACGTAGCGAGCGACGCGACGTGGTGGAAGCGGAGGCCTTCGTCGCGGCGGATCCACGGAGTCTCCTGAATGTCGTTGACGTCGACGTCGGACGTTTGCGGCGGCTTGGCGATCTGGATCGCATCGCTTGGGATGTTAAAGACTCTCTCAAGCTCGGCCAGCAGCGCGTCCATCCAGTGGACGCCCGGCGTTTCGGTGGAAAATGAAATCTCGACACGGCGCCCAAACCGAAGCGTCGACCGGTCAAAGAGCACGACCGAAAAGAGCGTGTGCGACGACGGCAGCGTGTCGACCGCATCCAGAATCTGAACCGCAAACTCACGGTTCTCATACAAGGTGAGCGCCGAGGCTTCGCCGAGCGTCAAGCTGTCGGCGAGGACGCGCGAGAGGCGGCGGCTCGAGAGGAGGTCCCGCAGTCGGAGGTGCTTGGCGTCCGGGTGGGTGGCGTGCAGCGCCGTCAAGATCCGCGCCTTCATGTCAGCGATGGGCGTTGCACTCGAGACGATGAGCTTGGTGCAGAGCGAGAGCTCATTCGCGTGCATCCAGGGCGGCAGCACGACGCTCGCTTCGTCCTCGCCCGTCGCCTTGGGCGTAAACAGATGGACTTGCACCGAGAATTCGCCGACGCGCAGTGGTGTTCCGAGCACGACGTACACGTTACTGTTGTCCATGAGCGTGAGGTTCTTGAACGACGTGTCCATCGCCTTGAGCTCCTGGCCCTTTTCCGCATTGCGACAGAGCTTGAAATCGTCGGGTTTCAAGTCGAAGAAGACGCAGAGCTTGTCCTTGAGCACCTGGAGGTTCTCCCGGCGGTCGACCTGGAACGGCCAGCTCATGCCGCTCTCCTTGGCATCGACGCCTTTCGCCGCGAGCAGCGTCTTCTCCTTGGTTTTGACCTGGAGCGTGATCATGTGCGCGCGGGCTTCAAAGAGCTCCTTGGCCAGCGACCAATTCGTGAGGGTGTCGCACTCTTCCACGTAGAGCTCAATGCCTTGCCGCAGCTTCAGATCCATGCGCAGCGTCTGCTGCAGCGTCGCCTCGTCGTTGGTCGGGTTGAGGATCGTCGTCACGATCGACCAGTAGCTCGACGAACTCATCTGCAATACGCGCAAGTGGTCTTTCTCGATGCCAAACTTGGTGCTGAGCAGCGAGAGCAGATCGCCGAGCGTCGCTTCTTCCGGGACCTGCACGCTCACGGGCGGCTCTGTAAAGTGCTCGGGCGTCGTTGCCGTCGACGGCACGTAGCGCCGCAGCAGAAGCTGGAGCGCTGTCGGGTCGTACGCCTCCCACGCCTCGTCGACGCTCGCGCGAACCTCGAGGAACAAGGCGCAGTGCGCGTAGATCTGCAGCTGGGCGAGCGAGCACATTTCGCGGCCGTCGTACGTCTCGAGCGGCACGCTCGTGTACTCCGAGTAGCTGCGCAGTCGGACGCGGTCGGTCGGGAAATCGAGGCCAAAGAGCGTTATGGCCTGCGCCACGACATCGCTCAGCGGCAGCAGCTTGGAGACATGCAGCGTCTTGTGGCTGCCGTCGTGGAAGATCTTGAGCGGGATCAAGCGCGCGCGCTCCTCCCGCTCCTTCTCTTTAACGAGCCGCCGTGCTTCGTCGGCCGTGATGAGGTCTTGAAGAAACGACGGCAGCGCGTCATCGGGCAGAAAGTGGCCGTTGCGCCGCGCGTCGACCTGACGGTACATGAGCATGTACGCACACGTCGAGTGCGACGACCGGTAGTAGTAGTTGCCAGTCGACGCGACCGGCGACGCGGCGGGGCCCCACGCCGTGCGCACCTCGGCTTCCGTGATCTTGGAGACGTTCGAGTCGTTAAAGTTGTACCACGCGTCGTCCTCGAACGACTTGATGTACGCGTAGTAGTGCCCGCCCATGGCGCTGCCCGAGTGGATCAGCACCGAGAAGAGCTCGTAGACAAACGGGCCGTCCGCAGCCAGCGCCTCCACATCAAAGTCTGGATGCCACGAGTCCCGGACACCGTCAACTCCGTCCTCGTCGTCGTCCGTGGCATCGAGCGACACGCGGCGAGGCGTCTCCTCCGAGAGCTCGAGGCGCTCGAGTGACATTTTGCGGGCGACGGCGCCGGACGTCGGGTCGTACGTGTTCATGTTGAGGTACTTGGGAAAGGTCACTTGGTTGTTGAGCTTGATGCGGTTGAACGTGACATAGTCAAAATCGAAGCGCTTGAGCTGGAGCGAGAGAAGGTACGGGAGCTTGGCAAACTTGAGGCCTTTGATCGCGTCTTGCTTGCTGCGGCACTTGTCGCAGTCCCACTGGTTGTCGCCCGAGAGCATCTCGGGCTTGAGGAAGAACTCGATCGCTTCTTCGACGCTGCGCATCATCTGCGTCGAGCCAAACGGCCGGATGACGAGCGAGAGGTCGAGAAAGTTGTCGAGGCGACTGCTCTCGTTGCCGCACTTGGCGCACTGCACATAGTCCTTGAGTGTGCCTAGCACGAGACGACGTGAGGCCAATGCACATGGAGAATAAGTACCTTGGTAGAGCTCGTTGACCATTTGCTCGTCGGGCGTGCCCTTGAACGACTCTTCCAGCGCGTCAAAGAGCACGCGGCAGAGCTCCTGCACGTCGTGCTGCTGGAAGACGTCCGACGAGTTCCAGCCAAAGCTCTTGGTGAGCGCCTTCGTGTCGATGGCCTTTCGCTCCTTGCTCAGCTGGAGGTTCGCAAACAGCTTTTGGAGCTGGAACGGGATGTTGACGTCGAGGTCCGTTGTCGCCGTGAGCTTGGACTGGTACAGCCGGTTGCGGAACTCGGGCGTCATGTACAGCGTCTGAAGCAGGCTGTTCATGTAGCAGGTCGCGCCTTGGTTGCTCAGGCCGCGGTAGCGCTGCGGCGCCGGCGGCGCGTACGCGTAGGAGGTCGTCGGGCTCGGCGCCGGGTGCAGCACGATCGCGGTCGAGCTCGGGCGGACGTCGTCGTCGTCGTCGAGGCCCTCGCGCACGGGCGACGTGCTCACGTCGCGGAAGCGGTCCATGGTCGGCGGCTGGGAATCGGCTAATGGCGAGTGATGGTGCCCCGGGGCGGCCCCGGCCAATTGTATTGTCGCATGTTGCATACAAATTCCCATATATTTTAATTGGACCACGATTTGCATGCCCACGTGGATCTTTGGGAAGTGGCAGCGGAGCGCCAGCCCATGGCGACGATCGCCCATGCGCGGATGACGGCCTTCGCCGCAGGGCCGCGTCCGGCCGATGGTACGAGGGACTTCGCATCGTCGAGATGAGGTCCTGGTGAAGGCGACGAGGCGCGATGGGGAAAGACGGCCGACTGCTGCCGGATTGTCGAAGGGTCATCGCCCAACGAGAAGAACGGTCCCATTACCCTCGGTGATGGTCGTGCAGGATACCCTGCGCAATGTCCACTGGCGAGCACGATGCACAAAGGTGGGCAATGACGACGAGCGAGTCCGCTCTGCGCGTTGGCAGGTTGTAGCTTTCTGGGCGGCGCTCAACCTAGTAGCCTCGTGCATGCTCGCAGCCGCGTAGTATGAAGGAGAGACACTAATGCAAGCCTATGCTGAACAGACAATGTACTACATAGATGTGCAGTTGCCAAGGAACCTAGTTACGTTCGTTTGGGAAATGCAATCCACGCGTTCGATCAAGTCCAGGCGAAGCACGTCGGCTTCGTGGCCTGCCATGGCTGTCGGCAGCGCCATCCTCTCGCACAAGAGACCGAGCAAAACGACTTACGAGCAGGGCGCGCGTTGGTCGACCATAGCCAAAATCGACTTCTTCAGTCGGCCACGGACGCAGAGGACGAGGCGACACTGTGAGCCCACCATGATCTGGAGACCAAGCGCAGGTCCATCCCTCGTTCCGCGCAACGTGCCAAGGTTCTCGTACCAGAGTGGTGTTCTCACCAGCATACACGCAAGAGTGGACGTGGTTGTTTCGTCGTGGACCTGCAGCATGAACGATGCACAGCTCATCTACTCGAGCCCAACTTGCAACCAAGTTCGAGATCGATTGCTCCAGCTCGTGCCATCGGGTCTTTTTTTATTGAGTTCCTCCATCGGAGCGAGCTCGAGGCCGAGAGGAGCCACAATCAACTCACACAGCGCAATCAGACCCCAGCGCATCACGCGACTCATCTCTGGGCGCTGTGGGACCACATACAAGAGACTGCGAGGCTGAGGTACACTGCTCGGTCTTGGCCAAGCTCGAATTCTTGCGTTGGCTGGCCGCAGGCGTGAAGGACGTAGCGGCGCCGGCGCAGAAGGAGCTTGACGCCGAGGGCCACTTGCACCGACGTCTTGAGCATCCAGCGATCGAGCTTGGCGCGCAGTTGACACTCAATCGTTCACTTTTGCTCGCGATTGCCACGACCAACGCCGGGTACGGCTGGTCATCGCCAGCGTCCAAGACAGCACCGCCGACCGCCAGCGCGCGCGGTGTGAAGCTGCCAGTGGGCTTTTGAAGACGACCACTGACCTTGCAGATAACATGTCCAAGCGCATGACGACGTACACGGCGGCATCGAGCAGCTGGTTTCGGAGCATCGAGGTGCCAGAGAAGACAACCAGACGTCTCAAGAGCGACTCTCTCCATGTCGAGTCAGTGCGAACATGCCTGGGCTTTTGTCGGTGTTCCGGGAAGGAATAATATCTGTACAACGATGGGATGGATGACTAGGGTGTGATTGATTCTTACATGGTATGATACTAAACTAACTAAAACTATTCGGGCGCCGTCCCCGCGAGGTTCTTGAGGCGCGAGTGCAGCGAAGCAAAGTTGGTGTTGCCGTCGTAGAGCCGGCGCATGGTCGGGATCTTCTTGACGACGCTCGAGGGCTCGTTGAGACCCTTGCGCCGGACCGGCAAACCCGACCGCTTCTTACTGCTACTGCCTTGCGTCGTTGGCTTGACGATCGTTGCCACCATCTCGACACGCGGCGTCGCCAGTACCACGTTCTCCTTGTCCGCGTCGAGAGAGAGGATCTCGTCCAGAATGTCTTGGACGCCGCTCTCAATCTCTGCGTGGCCGCGGTTGCTGCACTTGGCTGCGCTGCAGGCGCACTCGAGGTTGCACACGCCGCCGCGGGCCCGACACGCGCACATTTTGGTGGCGCACTTGCCTTGGCACTGGCAACAGCTCGTCGTCTCTGCACTCTCCGAGACCTTGAGCTCCTTTCGGCGCGGGTGGTCCGTGTAGTCCGAGTCGTCGTCGTCTTCGTCGACCTCGGGGCCGGTCGAAATGCCGCCATCGTCGTCGACCAAGAACGAGTTCTTGGGCATCCCCGACTTCTACATTGCGACAGCTCAGCCACCGCCTGTCGAGAGAGACCTCTGCCGTACCTTGCGCCGCTTGGTCTCGAGCTGTGCTCTCAGCGCCGCAATCTCGTCCAAGAGTTCGCGCTCCCGGTTGGCTTGCTACAACGCGAATAAGTTCACACTGTCTTTCAACGAAACGGACCAGTGTGGACGCGACCGCGACCGAGTTCTCGGCGCTGGCTTGCGCCACGAGCTGCGTCTCGGCGGCGACGAGCTGCGTCTCCATGTCCTTGAGCTCGTCGCTCTGCTTGGCCGACGCGACCGCGACCTCAAAGAGGCTCCGGATGATCTTGTGGCAGCTTGCAACGTCTGGCACACACAGCTTGCTCGCCCCGCGCTGCCGCTTCTCGACCAGCTCGAGCTTTTGCTGGAGCTTGCGGATCGTCTTGTTTTTGATATCGAGCGCGGCTTCCAACGCGACGCGCTTGGCGTCGGCGTCGTCGTCGCTCTCGGTCGCGGGTGGCAGCTTGCTGAGCTCGAGCGCGAGGGCCTTTCGCTGGTCAAACTCGGTTTGCACGGCGGCTTTGGCGCCCTGGATCGTGAGCGCAACCTCCAGCACGTCGTGGACGAGCGCCTTTTGGTCGTCGACGACAGCAGCGATCGCACGGCTCGTGTGCATGCCCGTCTTTTGCTTCTTGCTGGCTTGGATCTTGGCGAGCTCGTCGTTCTTGCGCTTGAGGAGCGACGTCTGCTTCTCAAACGTCGTCTCGAGCTTCTTGAGCTGCATGTCCTTCTTCACATCGCGGCGCTGGAGCTGCATGAGCTTGAGCTCTTGGTCGCGCTTCTCCTTCATATGGTCCTTGGCCTCCTGCGCGAGCTGTCGCTGGAGCTGCGCCTTGATCTGCTTGAGGCTCGCGAGCTCCTGCTGCAGCGACGTGATCTTGAGGAGACCTTGCGCATGCAGCTTTTGGAGCCGCTTGACTTCTTGCTCGGCGGCCGTCGCGACCGCGAGCTTGGACTTCTGACGCGACGGCGTCATGTGCGCGCACGCTTCGACCTGCGACGCGTACTGCGCCTGGAGCGTCTGCAGTCGGACCTCGATCGAGTCGGTCGATGTCTTGGACTGCAGAGCGTTCATGATGACCTCCTTCTCGGCAATGACGCCGTCAATGTTCTACTCGCTGCATGAGCGAACAACAAAACGAAGACACCAAATGTGAACCTCCATGTCGTGCATCTCGGCGGCGACAGCCTGCGAGACAGCGTCCGGGTCGTGCTCGTGGTCCTGCGCAAGGGCCTTCCACTGGTCCTTGGCCTGTCGCAACTGGTGCAGCTGGTTCTTCAGGCTGCTCAGCTCGGCGTAGAGCTGCTTGACGTCCTACGCTGCGGGATGAGTGCACGCAGTGTCGTATCCACGAGGCGACCGCTGGAATCGCCATGACGTCACGCTGCTGCAGCAGCTGGAGCTTGAGCAGCTCGACTTGGTGGCGCAAATAGACAATCTAGTCTCGCGATTCAAGATGACCGCGACGCAATTCCCGAGGTAGGTACCTCACTCTCGGCAGGATCGCGATTGACCACGGCCGCGTTCTGGATGCAGCGCGCTTGCTCAGCGTACCGGAGCGTACTCGTCGTTTCGTCAAAGTTGACGTCGGCGGGGCTCACGCACGCGATCATGACGGTCTTGCTGTTGCCGCCGAGGCTGTCTTGCAGCAGCCGCGTGAGCTTGGCTTCGCGGTACGGCGCAAAGGCAGGCTTGCCCTTCTTCTTCTCGCTGAGGCACGTAATGACCTTTCCGAGTACGAGCAGCGCCTTGTTGATGTGCACACCTACATGGACGTTAGCTTTCCCAAGCGTGATGCCAAGACGAGAGCCGTACCTTCTTTGAAGCGGTCGCCTTCGGCATGCGTCTTCTTGGCACGCTCCGAGCCGGCGAGATCGACAAGGTGAAACTTGGAGAGCTTGGAAGGCTCCGTGTCGGACGCCGGGTGCTGCTGCATGGTCAGCGTGCAAATGGCGTGGGACCGGCTGCTCGTGTCGTTCATGCTTGTCGAGGCGGTCGCGCGCTGCTTGCCGCCGCGCACAAGGAGGTCCTTGACGTCTTCGAGCGACGCGACCGTGTGCTCGGACAGGCCAACGACGACGACGCCTTTCTTCGGGTCGTCGCTGATGCGCAGGCTGTCGGGCGGCCCATGCGCGAGAAGATCAAACACTTCTTCGTTGAGGATCTCGAGGTACGAGAGCTTGAGCACCGTCGTCGTCATCTTCGTGTCGAGGAGCGTCGCGGCGCGGGCAAAGACGTCGGCCATGACGCTCGGAATGACGCCGGCCACGCCGCTGTCAAAGTTGGTGCCCATCGTGTACGTCTTGCCTGAGCCGGTTTGGCCATATGCAAAGATCGTCGCGTTGTAGCCGGCGAAGAAGCCATCGAGGAGCGGCGCGGCGCTCTTGGCGTACACGTCGTCGTGGCCGACGGTCGGGCCAAACACGTGGTCGAAGGCAAAGGTCTTGGGCCCGAGCGAGACGGTCGTCGAGTCGAGGCTCACGGCGCTGGCGCTACCCTGGGCCTTCTCGGCACTGCTCATCGGCCGGACGCGGACGACGACCTTGACGCCGTCGTCGGGCCGCGCTGCGCTCGCCGTCATCGTGCCACCCAAGGTTTAAAATCGGGACTGGTCCGTGATTGGTCAAAATTTAAATAGCCCGCCCAGCACGCATCCGGATTCGTATCCGGAAAGATTTGACACGGCTCCACCGCGTCCTCTCTCTTCGCGTACGATTCGGAGCACTGACAGCTTGGTCTGCGGCGCTGGCCGGGCACGAGAAGCTGCCAGCCGCGCACAAGCTACGCCGGGAGCCCATCCCGAGGCTAACAACCTTGACGTAATCGTGAACTCGTAAAAGTTATAGCCTTGAAAACACTTGGAGAAAGCCCAACTTTGCCAGAAAATGCATCGAGCACGGAGCTCGATTCGCCTCGTCAGGGTCTACCTCATGGTTGCCAAGTCTGAACTTTCATTCTTGTCAAAGATCTCAAGCCTAACTGTCGAGTACGGCTAGCCGTCCCCCGCGCCCACGACATTGTCGCCAACGACGGCTCCCAACGGTGTCAACGATTTTCTGTCGGTGGCTTGCTGGACACCGCCGGTGACACGGCACAGGCGCAGAGTTGGACGTGGTCGAGGAACGAGCGATCTCGCGCAGCTGGTAGTCGATCCTGGGCATGACGACTCGGTTGGATCCGACTTGATGGGATGCTAGCCAACCACAGCTAGACCTAATACTGCGACGAGGTTGTTTCAAACAACCGGCAGCGTCGACCCTTGCAGCTCTCTCTGTGCTGGAATTCATGCACATAAGGATATGTTCGTCACGGTTGGCCAGGTGGGAAGGCGTTTTGAGCAAAATGACCTTGGTTTTCAGATTGAGTTATGTGCGTCGAGTTGCGTGCGTTCAGATAGAGCAGCCCAACGCACCCAACCCGATTGGCCAAAACAATTTGTATGGGGAGCCTCTCTCAAAACACCAACCACGCCGCACCATAAACTCGATGAGCAAGCGCCGGACCGTGGCGTCGCCGACGGTCCTGGACTTGGAGCACGTGCTCACGAGCATCGTCCAGAGCATCGAAGCGCCAAGCGCTGTCCATGCCTTTCTATCGGCACTGCCGGCCTCTGCGCGCAGCCCGCCGCTGGCCGCGCTGCACGAGCTGCTCGAGCACCCGCTGCGCATGACGCGAATTCCTTTTGACTGCGAGCAGCGCGCCAGGAGCCGCATGTGGCCTCGGCTGTATCTGGACGAGCTCACACCCGCGGCTACCGCTCTCGTGCGCGATGCGATGCCGGTCATTGCCGCGGCCGCCGGCTCCAACAGCAGCGACGGTGTGCCGCCCGATGTCGACGCCTTGGCGTGGCTTGAGCTGTGGAGCGTCAAGCTCATGCAGTATACACACAAGTACCATCGGGATCCACGGGACCTGCCGCGCCGCTGTGCGATCTTGCGCAAGTGCATTCGCCTGACAGACGTCGATCTGCCGCATGACACGTCGGTCCTCGAGGCCGTCACGACGCCCGCGCACCGCGTCGCGTCGATCACAGCGTCGTGCATCGAGACCGACGCGAGCTTCCTCATGGCCTTGGGCCGATGGCTACAGTCGACGCACGCCACGTCCTTGACGCTCGAATACCAGCACATGGATCGCCGCGCCGCGGTCAGCGCCGGGCTTGCGCCAATGCTCGCCAAGACCACGTCGCTCGAGCGTCTGATACTGCGGAGTAGCGTGCCCGGCGTTGTCGCACCCCTCGTCGCCGTCGCACCGGCGTTCCAGCGCCTGACGCGGCTGGACATCACGGTGCACGAGGCCGACAAGGCAGCGTTGTGGTCGTTTCTGGAGCGTCTCAATCGCACCAAGCTGTCCTCGCTGCGCGTTGTCTGCAACGAGATGGAGCTGAGCCTGCTCGTCCCATCCTTGCGACGTTCCCAGCCCTGACGTCCCTTCAACTCCGAGACGGCGTCTACGTGCCGAGTAAGACGCCAGCAAGTCGGTTCCCCTCGTCGCTGCGGCACCTCCTTCTCGATAGCACTCGCTTCAGCGTAGGTTCGTGGCGTGACTTTGCTGCCCACGTCCCACCCACATGCGTTCTTGAGAGCTTTTCATTTCAGTTTTGCTCGCTGAGCAACGCGTTGTTCGAGGCGATGCTCGTCTCGCTCGGCGACTGGATTCGCCGGGGCCTCCGACGCATGACCTTCTACGAGACGTACCTCGGTGACGAGCGTGTCGAGGCGCTTGCGACTGCGCTTTCGCACACGGTGAGTCCCGTGGGCGTCACCATCGATGTCGGCGACAACGATCTGTCCCGTTCCACCTTTGCTCACGTCGACCGCGCCCTCGCCACCTGCCGCGGCATCTCGATCGCGCTGCCGCCGCTACAGGGGCTCTTCAACTCGACGCTTCCGATCCAACACGTCACGTACCGCTACGAGCGCAACGGAGACCGCATCCACCGCATCGTGCTGGAAAGCCCGAGTTAAAACGATGGGTAGAATGGTACGACTTTGTTCTTTTGAGTTTGAATGTGGGTTGAATTGTGCGTCCAGAGGGCGGCTTCACCCAACCTCCTCCGGCAGCAGCATGCATCGATTGCTAAACTGTACTCGGTCTGGATGCAATCGTGCTCCGACGCGCGTACACGTAGGAAACCCACATATCGTCTATCTATCTATCTATCTATCTATCTATCTATCTATCGATCGATCGATCGATCGATAGCGAAATGGCAGGAAGAGCTTCACACAGTACAGTGGCCTTGGACAACTCCAAGGGCATGATTAGACCCCATTATCACGCCGTCGAGAACCCACGTTGTCGACGCGGGCAGAGCGATCCTGATCGCCGATCGAGCTCGTAGCGGCCAGCCATTGTCGTCGCCAAGGCCTCGCGGATATCAACGTGGACTTCGCATGTCGAGGAGCTGCTAGCGTCACTTGCAGAGAGCACCAAAGTGTCGGCGCTCGACATGCCCACCGAGTCGGTGGACCTGCAGCTTGCGTTGGCCCTTGAGCGTCTCCGGCTCCACGGACATCTCTTCTCGACCTTTGGCTTTGGCGCCTGCTGCCACTTGGTGGTACCAACCGCCCGGAGACGACGTCGTGCCATGGCTCGTGCGTGACCTGGCTCAACACCACCCGCACACTGCAGACACCGAGTCTGACGATGCAGGGCGAAAACGTCAACGCCATGAACGCTCTACAAGCTATACCGCCGCAGCTCCTGGCACGTGGCCTCCAACGTCTGGCGCTCGTCGTGGTCGAGAAGGCCAACGCGATCTTGCTGATGCAAGCACTTGTCCAGCGCCGCGACACCCGTCGTCTCGACGTGCACCTCAATGCACCAAAGTCCGAGTGCACGGAAGCGCTTTTGCCGGCTCTGGCCGCGTGGTCCGCCTTCACTTCCAGGGGTACTCCCCTCGGGATGTCGCGGCTGACGTTATTTGAAAGGCATTGCACGCGTACCAATGATTATGCACCTTCACAGTCGTCGATCGAGATGCGCGGCAGAAGGCCAAACGCTCCCCACGACGCGTCGCGATCGTTGTCGACGTACGCTGCGTCAGCCACGGCCGCCACTTCGATCATGCAGAGAAAACAGGTTTGGGCCGCGGCCAAGTTTGGTGATAGCTACCTGCGAACGCGTGCGGTTGCGGCCTGACATTACCTCGACGATCTTGTGGTGTCGTCGGTGATTTGGTTTCTGGAGGCTCCAATCTTCCTCCAACAAGCCCAGTTCCAAGTAAAACACCAGATACCATGTCAAACTATGCATTCAAGTCGTTTGAGGTCGGAACCCATCTTGGAGCATGCTCAGCGGCAGTCGTTCGGCGTCCACGGCGTAGACTTCCAACGGCCCCGCGAACGGTCGCCGAGGCTTGTTGGACCTTGCTGTGTGGACGCCACTGATACGGTCGTGCCACTCGTTCTGGAGAAGAGGGTTTTCTACATCCACGGTATAGCCTTCGATGACGTACTATCGTCGCACGCACCGTCGTACTCGACCCAGAGCTTGAGCGACGGGGCAATGTACCCGTCGAGCGCACTGATCTCGGCGCCGTACCGCTGCAAGAGCGCAATCACCTCTACACATGGCATGCGGCGTCGTCTCCCATCATGGATGCTCGCACCGCGTTGGCCGAAAGCAAAGGCGTACACGAGCGCGGGCCCTTCGTCGACGCGGTATCCGAGGATGGACTCGCCGCCTTTGAGCACGAGGTACTCGACGAGCTTTGGTCGGCCGAAAATACACGCTTGCTGGAGTACGGTCGCAAATTGAAACGCAAATTCGGCCGGGGACAAGCGCGCGGCTGCGATGGATCTAGCGCCGCCACGTCATGAAACCGTCGATACATTGATACATTCTGGATACCGTACCCGGACGACCCGAAACGCTCCCAGTTGCGGAGAAGACAGAGTGTCATATCCTCGAGGCCCCGTAGCGCACTGTGCTGGATCGCGGCCTCAATAAAGTCCCGGAAGAACGGTGTCTTGTCCACAGGGTGCACGAGGTCGCAGTTGCAGAGAGCGTCGACGATCGACACGTGGTTGAGCGCCACGGCCTGCATGAAGATGCGCTGGCGCGTCTCGAGACCGCCGTCACAGAGCAGCGGAATGAATCGAAGGAGTCGCAAGACGGTGGCAACCGTTGTCTCGAGGCCGAGGCGCGTCGCTGCTTCCAGAAGCGATGTCTTGGGCGTCACCCAGAGTGCCAACGAGGCTGGTGCCGCACGAGGCAGCGCCGTTTCTGCGGCGGGGGCCACCGCGTTGGCGTGAAGCGCGGCGCAGAACCAACCGGGCAGCGGGTTCCAAGCCAAGAGCGTCGCAATCAGAAGGGGCTCCTCCACGAGGCGGTTTTGAATCGGGCTCGAGACGTCGGCGCCGTGCTGCCCAAAGAAAGCAACGACGTCGAGATGCCCTAGCATGAGCGCATAATGCAGCGGGAGACAGCCATCTACCACGAAATAATTGAGGAACACGAAGCAACATGCGAGAACATACGGCTGTCGGCGACGTTGACAAGCGAGATGCACGCGGGAGTCGTCGACAAGATTTCCAGCGCGTTGGAAAGAGCGGCGAAATGCACGAGGGTCCGTCCGTCCGATGAGCGCAGCTGCTGAATGTGAGCGGCTGAGAGATTGAGCGTCGTGAGGAGCCAGGCCACGACCTTGAAGTGCCCGCCTTCGGCTGCAATCAGGACGATGGAGATGCCATCGGTCGCGACCAGCGTCTCGGGTGGCGGCTAGGACATGGTTTGCATTCAAAACCATACCACGCGCGGGGACAGCACCTGCTGCAAGACGAGACGCACGACGACCGGCAAGTGGTTGCCCTTGGCAGCTTCCAAGACCGGCGTCCAGCCTCGGGCGTTCCGGAGATTACCCGCCGACGATCCGGCGTGTTGCAGAGCTTCGACGATGGCCACGTGCCCCCGCTTGGCTGCAATATGAAGCGCTATCCATGAATGTCAAGTCGCTTGTTTCCTGCAACAACCAGCCTACCCGTGTTGCCATCCCGATCTGCCGCATCCAAGATCGACTGGAGCTGCGTCGGGGCGACTCGTTGCCAGAGCTGCAGCAAACCGAGATCGCCAAGTTGCGCGAGAAGGTGCAGCGGCGTCTGTCCCTGCTTGTCGTGGACGAGCCCGGTCCCTATCCCGACAAATGGCGTCGAAATATGCGCATCCACAAAGACGGACCTTGCTGCAAGAGTCGCTGGACCACCGTGGCTTGACCGTGCCGCACAGCGTAGTGCAGTAGCGAGCTGCCAGCACTCGCCGTCGTCGTGTCCAGTTGGCGCAACAACGGCAGCTGAAAGGCTTGCAACAGGTGCAGGACAATGTTGTACCACTGAGCTTGAGCGGCGAAGAGAACCAAGCTCGCGACAAGGTCCACGGGCGTCGACAGCGGCAGCTGGGGCAAGAGAACTTCGACCATGGCCCGACTCGCTTGCTTCCAGTTTTTCATGGCGCTCTGAAGCGTCAGCCACACCTCGCGATGGTCCATGGGGGCCTTGACCTACACGCTACATGAGCCTCATCGCTACGCAAGGTGCGTCATGTACGGCTAAAAGAAGCTGGATCGCAGCCGCGTTATTGGTGCGAATGGCTGCGGTGTAGTAGCTGTGGCCGGCAAAACTGATAAAGTGCACGGGAATGGGCTCCTTGGGGACGGCAACTTGAAAGAGAAAGGCCAGCGTTGATACATTGATATTCGCACTTTGAGTCGCGGCCTTGACAACGGCTTCTTTCTGCATTGAGGCGAGGCGAGGCCATATGTACTGAACGATGCGCGTGCTTGAGGAGTCGTTTTGCTTGGCCGCCAGCGTCCACGGGCTCTCGCCCGCATTGTTGACGGTATCCAGGGGCGCCCCGGCGGCGACGAGTACCGAGACCGTCGTTTCGTCTCGGGCCGCCACCACAAGGTGAAGCAGCGTGTCGTTAGTCTCGTGGTTCGGGTGCGCCAGTGCATGCCGGACGTAACACTGGACAATGCGGTGGATGGTTCGTTGGTGCTCGAGTGCACTCGTGCCATAGCTGGAGAACGCCGAGAGGTTGCGCCATGTACACGTTTGAAATCCTGCGACCCGGAGCGCGTCCGTGGCGTCGACCGAGTGCGACGGCCAGACAAAGGCGTTGAGCGAACGGGCGCGCGCTTGGAGCTGCTGGACATTTGGCCGTATCGGTCGACAGCGTCCGTGGGTAGCCGGCGCCCCGGTGCCCCGCTGCACGAGGGCCGGGAGCACCGACTGCGTTGGCGGCAACGCCAAAACCAGTGCTATAAACGCGTCCAGCGCCATGTGTGCACCGGCGTACCAAATCGGTGTTCGCGACGGCATGTTGGCCACGACAAGGTCCGGCGGGACGCCAAAGCCATGCACGAGCTTCTGAACGACCGCAACTTGGTTGGCGGCGGCGGCCCGGTGGAGCACGAGGCTGCAGGTCGCGGCCCGGCGGATCCACGTTGCGTATGGCTCGACACTGGCCTCTGGTAGTAGCAAGCAGTGCGACACGACGTCCCACATTTCGCGCGACGATGCCAAAATAAACGCTTGCAAAAGATGGTCAAAGGTGGCGCCCCGGAGCGCCGACCACGACGGCAGCAGGGTCTGCACCACTGGACGCGGCTCGCCGCCTTGCAGCGCCGCAAGGATGGTCGTGATTGTCGGTGGGCAGTGTGGGAGCAGCAAGCGAATCGCATCGTCGTCGCTGGCGAGTGCTGCGTGGTCGAGTGCCGTGCACCCGCCGCTGTCGAGAGCGGCGAGCCGCGCCAGGCGTTCGTCACTCGTCTCGTGTGGCATCGGCTGCAGCAAGAGCAGGAGAAGCGGCGTTTTCCCGAGGTACGTTCGCGGCAGACGCGCGGCGGTCGCCAGCGCAAGGTGTGGCGCGCGCAGGCCCGCCAGCGACGGCACGGTGGCGACGAGCCACGCCACAATGTCGAGCTGCTCGTGTTGAATCGCCAACGTGAGCGGCGTGTGCCCCGACGCAGCAACGTCTTGCAGCGAGAGCCCGGCGCGGTGGTACACTTGCAGCAGCGGTAGACACCCGCGTTGACAGGCCATGTGCACGACAGGCACACTTGACGCGAGGCTCAAGCGGAGGTGGTGTACCATGTTGGTGTAGGCCCCCGCACATGCACGCAGTGACGGGGATCGAAGCGGCGTCCGTTTCATCCAGCCATTGGTGTGCGATTGCATCGGATGCACCTGTGTTGTCCGAGACACGGTGGTCGTCGACGCGCCGAGAAGGTACAGTTTGGCGGCTGTCATGTGCTGCCCGCGCACAAGGGCAAAGTAGAGAGGCGCGGCGTGGACGCAGCGACTGCGGACCACGAGGCCGTCGACGTCGACGCCATTGGAGGTCAAGAGACCAATTAAACTGGCTTGGCCCGCGGCGGCGGCGAGATGCATTGCACCCAGAGTCTTGTCGGGAACGTTGGCACCTAGTATGCCTTCCTGAGTACTCTGCATCGCAACCGTCGAGAGGATGTAGTACGAGGAAACTCGATGCGGCGGTGCGTCAAGAGGCGGATCGCGACCGCCCAAAAGCCTACCACACACGCGCGCGTGATCTCGTCCGCGGTCACGTGCAGCTTGAGCGTCGGGTCGATCTGGATAAGATTGTCGGTGAGCAGCAGCGCCATGTCGTACAACGTCTGCCACTGGCGCCTACCCTCGACCATTTCGAATCGTGTTGTCGCTAGGACAGATGGGTACCGCGTGGCAAGCTCATGGCGCGTGGTGTACATGGCGGCGGCAAGGCTATCGGACATGGGCTCGTCGTATGTGTGTTCCTGGAACGAGGCCGGGGCGGTGTGCAGAACCAGCGCCAGCGGCCCGCCGTGGCCCACCGCTGGCGACGTCCACGACATCCCAAACCACTGTCGGGTCGGCGGCAGTGGCAGCCAGAGGTTGACATCCGCACCGTGCACCAGCAAGAATTTCACGAGCTCGGTCGAGCCCGACCGCACGGCAAAGCACAGCGGCGACTCGTCCGTGACGCACGCATGCAGCGTCGCGCCGCGCGATAGCAGCAGCTGCACCGTGCTGAGGTGGCCGCGGAGACAGGCCATGTGCAGGGCCGAGTCGGCGGTCGCGCAGCTAGCGTGCAGCGTGTCGAACGGGACGCCGTCGAGGAGCACATCGAGCAGCTCGTCGTGGCCGTGGAACGCTGCACACGGGATCGGGCGTTGATGCAACGCGTTGGCAAGGTGGACGTTGGCACCGTACGCGAGGAGAGTGCGGACCACCGCGAGCGACGACGACGACGGTGGCTCCTTGCAGCACCGTGTCACCTCGGCCATGAGCAGCGTGTTGCCGGCCTCGTCGATAGTTTCAAGCGCCAAGCGCTTGCGCTGGCCGAGGAGCTCGAGGGCGCGCACCGCCATGGACGGCGCATGGGCGAGTTGCTGGAGTACGAGATGGGCCAAAAGCACCGGCGTCGACTCTTTATTTTCGTCGAGACTCTCCAAGAGAAGGGTCAAGAGGTCCCAGTACCGGTGGTGCGTCGCCGCCAGGATCGCTGCGTCGACATCAAACGTCGCGACCTTCCATCCGTGCAAGAGCCTCTCGATCGGTGTCGGGATAGTGTCCTTTTGGATCGGTCGCTTGAGGAAGTGCCCCAGTCGGTGCCGACGTCGAAGCATTTGTGGGCAAGCGGCGGGTGCGAGCGAGTCTCGACCGCGTGCTTGATCAAGAGCGCGCGCGCGACTGCGACGTTGCCAAGCACGCAAGCGACGTGCAAGGGCGTCATCCCAAAGATGTCTCGCGTATAATGCTCGTGGCCGAGCATGTACTGACAAAGGAGGAGTGCGATCGACGTCTTCTCGTGCTCAATCGCCACGTGCAGCGCGGTCTTGCCGTTGACGTCGGTCACGCCAATAAGTTGCGGGTACTTGAAGAGTAGGCACTCGGCGATCCGGTCAAACCCGCGGGCCGCCGCAATATGTAGCGCCGTCGCGCCCCGCTGGTTGGCGATGAACACGTCGGCGCCCTGCCGCACGAGGTAGTCGACGACGTTGTAGCGGCCGCGCTCGGCCGCTTCGACGAGCGCGGTCGACTGCAGGATCTCCAGTTGCACGTTCAAGTGCGGGATCTTCTTGCTCTCGAGCAAATGCTGGATTCTTGGCACAAGGCCGGCGCGCGCGGCTTCAAAGACCGAGCCAAAGACGCGCTCCTCCATCGCGAACACCGAGTGTCCGTAGATGTCCTGTGCATGCCACCACACCGGCGGCGTCCGGTCCCACAACAAATCGACAACTTGCTCAGCGTTCTCGTACCGGGCGAAAATGCCGTTGGCGATGTCGTACTGCGTCGCCACATGAAGCAGCGCGAGGTGCAGCGGAAGCTGGTGCTGCACGTTGAGCGACGTTGTGGATGCGCCGTGGGCGAGGAGCCGGCTCACGGCCTTGAGCCGCCCGTAGCGCGCGGCCAAGTGGAGGGCCGTGTTGCGCTGGCTGTCGAGCACATCGACAAGCACACGCTCGCCCAAGAGAAGGTCCAGGAGCGTTGCGTGCCCAAAGAGCGAAGCGTAGTGCAGTAGCGTTCGGCCCATGCAGTCGGGTTGGTTCAGCACGCGCTTGTCGGGCAGTGTCGGCAGAAGGACGCGCAGAAGCTCAATCGGACACTCCTTGGCCGAAAGCGCAAGGTCGAGGACCCGGGGCACCGATGGCGACGTCTCTGGCCGCAGCCAGAGCAACGGAAACACTTGGATGTGGTCCGACGGCAGCGGAATCGACGAGCTTTTCTTGCACCAGTCGCCGTGCACAGCGTGGCCCGTGACGACGTGCCATTCGCCGGTGGAGGCGGTTGTCCGCACCGTGCCCAGGAGGCGTGAGTAGTACCGAGACGGGTGCGCATGGCGCTCAATGAGCATCGTCGGTGGATCGTGCGACGCCAGCGACGCCTCGGTGTCGAGCTGCGTCTCCATCGCCAAAAGCCGCAGCTTGGACTGCAGACTTGGTAGCTTGGGGTTGTGCGAGAGAATGTGTCCTTGGGTGTCTTTAACGACGAGACCTGCCGCGCCACCATGCATGAGGAGGGGCTTGGTTTCCTTGCGCAGCCGAGACACGAGCTGGCGGCGCGATGGTGCCTGCAGCGCGCTTTGGTTCAAGAGCCAGTCGCCGCACCAGTACTGACACAGTCGCCACACGTAGACGTCGGGCGCATGCAACCTACATCGCATCCTCGGTGTTGGAGATTGCAGCGAGGTCAAGAGGTACCGCAAGCGCAGATGCTTGTACAGTGGTGCGACGTCATGAACCTTCTTGGTGAACGATGGTAGTGTGTAGTGGTGGTGCTGAAACTGAAACGCGAGCAGTGGACGCTGTTGGTTCGGGTGCGGGTCGCTTGCGCGCTCTACTGGCGTTCGCTGTGCCTCGAAGCTGTACGCAAGTTCTTTCTGCTGCCAGTGGTGGCCAGGCGTTCCGAGGATCGCGAACGGTATGAGGTCCCATGCTTTCACGTCGCCTTCCTTGGCCCGCGCCATCGGTCGACCTACATGTTGTTGGCACTCATTGAAAATCGACGGATATTCAAAATGCACCGTGGCTGAGAAACTCGAACGCAGCATCGAGATGGCCGAGCTGCTCGGTGGCCATGGCCCGGACGCGGTCCAATGAGGCAGAGTGCAATTCGTGCACCGAGTCAAACTCAATGTAGCCAAGGACCGACGATGACTTTTCCAGCGCGACATAGAGCCGCGGGCGCGCTGCCAGTGACGATGGCATGAGCTACAGGGGCAGAGAAATCGCAATACCTTCGCCCGTGCACGCCTCAAGGTAGCTGAGGAGACTTGGATGCCCGAGAACCCAGGAGCAAAACGTCGCCTTGTCGACGCTGTCTAGTCGGCTTGGGTCGGTCGCCATCCCCGACTGCACCAGGTTGTCGAATACGTTGGCGACAACCTATACGAATCCGACGTGCGATGTAGAAACTGAGAGCTTGACACACGCCGTACGACGTTTGTTTGTGTCAACTTGACAACGCTGCGGGCGGCAGCCTGGAGCACTACGCCACGCGCTTAGAGACGCTTTTGAATTCATTTCCATACGCAAAGAGAGGCTGGGCGGCGAGAGTCGACCCGTGCTCTGGGTGTCGACGACGTCGAACAAGACTATCAAGAGTCTTTAGCTCAAATACGGCGCAGTGGACGTACAGGCCACCCGCTGCGCCATCGTGGCCTGGCAGAGCAGGATCAAGCTCACAAAGATCTCCATCATGTCGACGACGGGCACGGCGGGCGACGCGCGGACCTTGGCGGGCGCAAAGACGCGAAAGCAGAGCGAGACGAACGCATCGGGGAGCGCGCGCCCGAGGACAAAGCCAAGCTGTTCCATGGTCACGCAGTAGCGCAGGGTCATGTGGCGGTACTTCTTCAGGACGACGTGGACATCGAGGACGTCCCAGTCCCGGAGTACGCGGCGCAGGTCGCCTTGGGCGCGCAGCGACGATGGGGCTACACCCATGGGTGCCGGTTGGACAAAAAGGCCTCTGATTGGTCGGTGCGCGATCTTGAACGGTCACTTTGCACTTGTGGCGGCCTTTCCACCATTCGATTGTACACGCTTGGAATCTCGCGGCTGAATGCGTCGAGTGGTGTGTATCGGCGATGCGCTCGACGTTGAGCGGCTCGGTCGGTCCCACGCCCAGGGATGCTTTTTAACAGAATATATAACGTTTGATAAAATGTGGTGGATTTATTTGCGTGTCTAGCTCGATCGGGGCAACGCAAAGTTGCCATGGTTGCAGCTGGTCGTAGGAGCTGGCATTACGACGTGGGGTTGGTCTGATTCAAGGTCTCTCTACACCTGAGCGTCCCTTCGGTTCCGGCGAGAGGATCGGCCCAGTATGACAAATAAATCCACTGAAAAATTGTCGAGAAAGTCTGCACGTGACCAGGCACGTCATATGGTACCCAATGGGTCACGGTACCACCTTCACCCGAGGTTGACTCCTGGACTTCCAGCTGCTTGGCGCCATCGATGGGGGGTGGGATAGGGTAGGACATGTTCTTATTGAAGGTGCTTGGCAGCCAACGTGGACATGATTGTCTGCAAGTGCTTTCGAGCACTTGGTGGACGATGCTGCAGATTCCGTTTTCACGCCTCTTATATGCTCGGCTGCTGTCTGCTTTTGCTTGTGGTGGTACGCTGTCTCTAGCAACGACTCATGCTCTCGCATCGTAGGGGCTCATGGGCGTCGCCCAAAGCTTGCATCCGCGCGCGTCTCTCTCGGCGAGCGGCGCCACTGAGCTCGAATTCACCGTCTTGCAGATTGCCGACACGCACTACACGGGCGATTCGAGCTTCCGATGCAGCGACCCGCCGCCGTGCACCGAGGCCAACACCACGGCCTTCATTGAGGCGCTTCTGACCAAGGTGAAACCCGACCTCGTTGTCTTTACGGGCGACCAAGTCGAGAACGACCTCCTCCAACACGTATTAACATCTATCCATACAAGACCACGTTCGTTGCTCATGAAGCGCCACGTAGAACCTCTCGGAGGTCAAGGCCGCCATTGACGCATCCATTCGCCGCGTGATTGCCCATAAGGTGCCGTGGGCTTTCGTCTTTGGCAACCACGACGAAGGGGTAGGCATCAACTCGAGTCGCAGCGACACCGAGTCGTCACCTGCGTCCTAGGCGTCGATGCCACGGCGCGCCATGTTCGACTACATGGTCCAGCAGCCGTATGCGGTGGCCCGTCGCGGCCCCGACGACGTCGGCGGAGTCGGCAACTACGCGCTCAACGTTACCGACGCGAGCAACGCCACCGTGTTTCGCATGTATTTTCTCGATACACGCAACACCGACGAGGCGATCGCACCGGCGCAGGTGGCCTACCTCCGGGCGGCGGCACCGCCAACGCCTCTGGCGCCGGCGGTTCTCTTTCATCACATTCCGCTGCCCGAGTACCAGCTTGGCTGGATGGACAAGCTGTTCCACAAGTACGTCGGGCACCGCGGCGAAACCATTTCCAGCGGCCCCCAAGCCGGTGTCCTGAACGCGCTCGTCCAGAGTACGTCGTCTCCATCACCCATCTTGCCGCGGGTTTGATATACGATACTAGTGGGCGACGTCAAGGCGGCGTTTGCGGGCCACGACCACCTCAACAGCTATTGCATTGAGCGCAAGGGCATCCAGCTCTGCTACGGCGGTGGCGTCGGCTATGGTACCTTTCAATGCACGGGAAGCACGCTGAGATTCACGATCATGCATTGGCTAGGACAAGCGTACGGTAACCCGTCGGTCGCCCGGGCTGCTCGCATGATCCAGTGGCGCCGAGACGACCGCGCTGAAACCATTACAACGTGGCGCCACGTTGACGATATCGAGGCGACGACGACGGTGCGCATGACCTTGTACGCGTCCTGCTCTTCTTCGTCGATGACACGTACCATGGTTGTATTGCCTGCGCTCCTCGTCGCCATAGTCCTGTCGCTCTAATGTCGTATGTGGACGCGTATCTATTTCTTTAAATATCAATATTTCAATGTATCAAGCTGGGCGAGGCTACTTGTCAATCTCGTACAAGTAGCCACGAGCCGCCATCCAGACAAGGTGTGCACAGATATTCAAAAACAAGAGTGTAATATTGTCGTCAACATCCATTCTTAGACGGTCGTCGTCGTCCCATGAGCCATTTCCGAGAGCTGGCGCATTGCATTGTTGGCATGGGCGCCAAAGAGCCACGTGTCGGGAATGTTCTCGGGGTGGAGCGCCGTCAACGACGAGAGCAAGACGCTTAGACGCGACGGGTCGTCGTCGCTGCCGTCGTCGGACGCACCTGTCGGCGGCAGCGGTGGCGCGTTCGGGTCCCGCGCGAGCGCCTTGGCGAACGCCGAGTCCCGGTACAGCACGTGCTGCTTCTCTTGCCGGTGGACTTGGTTCCACGCCAAGAGCGCGACCTTTTCTTTCTGGCCCGGCGCGCTGCAGGTCGAGGTACGGACGTGGCGGCGGGACGCGGTCGCGGGGCACGCAAAGACATTGACAAGCAGCGGCGACAAGTCGGGGAACTGCCCGGTTGCTTGGCCCCAAATGCAGTTGGGCAACATCGTTTTGGTCATCGCAAACACATCGGTGCTTGCGTTGGTCCGGGCGCAGTAGAGGCAAAACTGCGAGAGCGCCTTCGCCTCGAGCGTCCGCGACTTGCGGCAGAGCAGCGTGAGGCCGCGCCGGCACTCGCTCAAGAGCTCGTCGTTCAGATCCAGCATCGACGCGCCAAACCGCTCGACGACGACCGCGCGCAGCTGGTCAAAGAATGGGTCGACGCGGAAGGCGAGCGCGTGCACGGGCGAGTAGACCACCGCGACGTGGTGCGTGAGGATGTCGGTCAACGCGCGCGGGTACTCGTGGTGCATCGTCGAGACGAGCCCGCACGCCGCGTAGATGGTCGTCGGCGTCTGTAGAAACGCCATCTTCACATGTAAAAAGACTGCGTAGACGGCCGAGAAGGTCGCTTCCGAGCTCTGGAGGTAGGCAATCGCGGCGTGGATCGGACTGAGCACGGCCACGAGCGCTTTGCTCGCTTTCCAGAAGCTAACGTCGTGGATGATGCCCATCATGGCCGGGTCCAAGCGAACACTGGACGCGTCGTTGTTGGCGATCGCAGCCGGAAGTGCCGTGATGACGCTCCGGAGCCGGTCCAGCGCCGTCAGCATGTCGACAATCGACGCGAACGACGCGGGGCGGAAGATCGCTGGCAGCGGCACATGGTCGCGTAGCACATGCTGGCACGTAGTCTCGAAAAGAGACGCGAGCGCCGGGTCGTGGAGCGAGTGGAGGAGTGCGACGGCCTTCTTGAGCTGCTGCTTGGGCCCTGGCAGCGCGCAGACGTCGCGGCAGACGGCATGGAGCGCAGCTGCAATGTCACCGTACGTAAACTCGAACGCATCCGGCGCGGTTTCCTTCTCGAGGAGCGACCGGACGAGGGACATGGACGGACGGGCGTCGGCGCAAAAGGCAAGGAACGGCAGGGCGGACGTGAGGTTCCAGAGGTCGCTGCCGTCGCTGCCGTCGGTGGGCGAGAGGAACGCCGGCGCAGCCGTCGCGATCATGGCGCGCGCGTGGCGCCGGGCGGCGATGATGTGCACGGCGACCGCCTCGGCGGACTCGCTGGTGAGGACGTCGGCGCTCGGAATCGCGCACGGAAACGGCGTGAAGAGCGTGAGGAACGTCTCGCCGGGCGGCAGCGCGAGCACGCCGGCGCCGCTGGACGCGAGCTGCGACCGGATCCCATCGAGCTCCGTGTTGTACTCGGCGTCGAGGAGTCGTCCGTGAACGTCCATGGGCGTGGGCACAGCAAAGTCGGGTGCGAGGACCTTGAAAAAGGCGAGGAACGCCGGATGCTGAAAGACCGACGGGTCCATGGACGCGCTGAGGACGGCGCGGGTGAGGAGCTTCTCGGCCTTGGCCTGCTGCAAGGGCGCTTGCGGCGCGCTTGTATCCTCTTGCTTGGTGCGCTTGGCGCTGTGCTGCGCAAAGGCCTCTTCTTTGCCAGCATCGTCGACGCGGCGCTTGTGGGCCATGTCGACCGGCGGGAGGTGCTCGTCCGGCAAGAGCGCCGGGTCCCGCTTCCGGCAGATCTCGAGGTGGCGCTTGAGCGACGTTGTGACCGCGCAGACGTAGTTGGTGCAGAACTTGCAGGTCACGCAGGCCGTGACCTTGCCCGGGCGCATGACCGGCGTGTCGTCAAACCACTTCCAGAGCGGATCGCGATGGCGGCCCATGTTGCTGGCGAAGTACTTGGCACGTTAGAAAAGCCACTGGCTATTTTCAAAGCTGCTCGCTTGAAATATTCGAACCTCGGCTATGATTGGTTGAAATTCAAAAATGAAAAATACGCGCGATGATTGGCTACGTGCGTGCGCGCGCCGATCCACTTAAATGCACCTCGGGCTCGTCCTACGCCTTGTAGCCGCGTTTGTACCCTCGCACAGTTACCTCCATCGATGCTGGGACCTCGCTAATATGGCTGTTGCGCTGGTCGCGGCTTGGTCATGGGCCACGCGGACCTGCCGAAGCATGTCGAAGGCCATTTGTCGATTATTGGCCAATGGGCGTGCATCCAAGCCATATGCGGCATGTGCCATAAATAACAAAGACCGCTCCCGCGCAAGGCTCCGCAGTCCACCATGGACTCTAGAGCCGGTAGTAGACGTTGGTATATGATTGCATCGACGAAGCGACGTGGCTTCGTGCTGGGATGTGTTGCTATTGCCGTTGCGATATGATGTACTGTCAAAGTTGCGTGCGAATAGCCACATGCCGAATATAATCGAAGCAGGCGCATTCCGCAATTAAGATGGCCGGCCGCAGCGTGCCCCAGATCTACCGGCGAGTGCTCAAGCTCGCGCAGCGCTTCCCGAGCATCAAGAAGGACCAGCTCGTCGCAGACATCAAGGCCGAGTTCCATGAGAACGCGAGCCTCACGGACGCGGCCAAGATCCAGGAAAAGATCGCGATCGCGGTCAAGGGCATCGAGCAGCTCGGGCAGTACGTGCATCTGGACCCGACCGCCCACAGCTGGACGGTCGAGATGGAGAAGGACCCGTTCGGGCAGAACCAGCCGCGGCCCGCAGACGTCCGCGTCGTCACGCCGCCCAAGCAAAGCGAGCCCTAACGTGCTTGAATCGCAAATAAATGGCTTTTCCGAGAGTTACATGCAGTCTAGAGGCTCTACTTGGGCGCAAACTTGGCCGTGATCGCATCGACTTCCAGCGCGCTCGTACGCTTGTTTCCAACGATCCCGCTCTCTTGGAGGATGTCCATGGCCGGCCCAAAGCCCTTGAGAAAGTCGTTGACCATCGACGGCGCCGACGCGTCGCTGCCGTTGTTGAAGGCCCAGACCTTGGGCTGGAGGCCCTGTAGCGCCTTGGCCTGCGATTCGGCGAGTTGCTGTGGCACTTCGGCGCGAATGTAGAGGTATTGCTTGGCCAGGTCGGCATCATGGCCCGCAGCGGCCACGATTGCGGCTAGGCCCTCGCTCTCCATGATCATCTTGGCCTTGAGGCCGCGGCCTTCGGCTTCCATCATTGCGAGAGCGGCCTCAGCGTCACGCTCGGCCGCATACAAACGCGCATTGGCCTGTTCACGCAGCGCGTCGGCTTCGACCTGCGCCGACGTGAGGATGTCGGCCTTCTTGGCGACGAGGAGCTGCTCCTGGCGCAGCTGCTCGACGTTCAAACGGAGCTGCTGGAGGCGCACCTCGGCCATTTGCTCGGCCTCGATTTTGGCGACCTCGATCTTGCGCGACGCTTCGCCTTCGATGATCGCGAGTGTCGCCTTGGAGTTGGCGATCGCGGCCTGCTGCTCGTTCTCGGTGATCTGCGCCTCCTTCTCCATGTTGGCGACGGCGATGCGCGTGTCGCGCTGGCGGATCTTTTGCTCGATGTCGCCGCGCTTGTTGGCGTCCGCCACGTCAATCTCGGCGTCCTGGAGCGTGTTTGCGAGCTTCTTGCGCTCGCGGGCCTCGAGGTAGCCCATCTGGCCGTTCGCGCGCTTGGCTTCGCGCAGCTCGGCGATGTTGGCGTTGATGATCTCGAGGCCGAGTTGGTTGAGCTGGCGCTGGACGAGCGCCACGACGTTGGTTCGGAACGCCTCGCGGTCGTCGTTGATCGCATCAATGTCCATGAGTGCTGCTTGCACGCGCGTCTCGCCGTGGATGATGCCAAGCAGCGTCTCTTCAAACTCGTCGGGCGGCAGCTGTTGCATGCGCTCCACGTAGCGCTTGAAGCCAGAAGGGTCTTCGATCGGGTTGGCGGGCGCGACCGTGTAGGCGACCGGCATCTCGAACGGAAGGTACTGCTTGGAGAGACACGCGAGGTTGAAGCGGAAGCTCGATGGGTTCATGGGCACGGTGATGGCCTCCTGGAACGGCCACTGGAGGCCCATGCGGCTCACCGCCATGTCCTTGATGCCGAGACCCGTGCGCACGAGGTACCGGTTGGGCGGGCACACGTGGAAGCGGCATGTCCCGAGCCAAACGCCAAAGCCCACGACGCCAAGCGCCGCGAGCGCGCTCGCCTCCTTCCAAGTAAACTCGATCGGCTCCCGCATCGACGGCTGGCGTCCGGTCGATGGCGTGTTGCTCTTGTTGTTGGCGTTGCTGGTCTTGGTTGCACTCATGTTGGAGAATGGCTGTCGAGGGAAACCCGACGGTGCACTGCCGGCGGGTTGTCATCCGAGAATGATAGTCGAAGACCATCATTCGACGCAGCCGGGTCGTCACGGGGCGCACAACGACCTCGACGACATCGTCAACAGGAGCCTTAAACTCATCGAGCAAAGCAAAAAGTTGTGGCCCACCAAGGATCGAACCGGGGTCCTTCTGGTGTCAGCATTTCTGTCCAAACGATGGAATCCGAGGGCGTAGGTTGCTTTCATTTCGTAGACTCTCGACCGTCTGGATGAGGAGTCAAACGGTTGCTTCGGCTCATGGACGAGACGTCGTGGGAACTTTGCAATGGATTTAAATACTTGCTTATTTACTGGGAGGGTTCGATAGGCGGCGGCGGTCCATCGAGCACTTGCTGCTGCTGCGCGAGGAGCCCGACCATGTCGAGGACATATCCACCGGGGTAGGCTATTCTATGGTAGAGCGCAAACATCGCACTCACAAACAAAAGCGCGTCGACGCGATCCAGTAGGCCGCCGTGACCCGGAATCAGCGTCCCCGTGTCCTTGACGCCCGCGAGCCGCTTGAGAAGCGACGCAAAGAGGTCGCCGTAGCGCGAAATCGCGGCGCCGACGACGGCAAAGCCAAGCCGCCACCGGAAGCGCATGCGGTACTGGGCCTCGTCGGCCGTGTCCTTGTCGTTCATAAGGAGAAGGTCCACGAGGAGGACGCCGGTGACACCAAGCAAGATGCCACCCAGAGAGCCTTCAATGTCCTTGTTGGCAGAAATGTGCGCGGCGAGCGGGTGCGGGCGGCGGTACCGCAGCCAGTGCAGGAGGTGGCCGGTGCAGTACGCGCCCGTGTCGGCGCCCCAGACGACCGCGAGGAAGCCGAGCGCAATGCGTGGTCCGTCGTGGACTTGAAGGAGCAAGTCGGCCATCGGATACATGAGCTGCACAATGTAGCCGTAGCCGACGACGGCGAGAAGCGTGTGCAAGACGCCTTTTAGCATGCACTCGGGCGCCAAGGTGGACGAGAAGGCCAGCGGGAGATGGATGAGGACAAGCGCGAGGATCACCTCGATGCGCACGTGTGCATTGCTGAGCGGCACGAAGCAGTGGTGCTGCCCTGTATCGCAGAGGATCTTGGCGAGGACCGAAAACGAGTAAAAGATCTGCTGCGTCAGTAGCACGACTGCCGATGTCCACGTGGGCGTCAGCAGTGCGCAGTAGACGGTGAGCCACGACGACATGCCGAGAAAGATGGTAAACTCGTGGATCGCGTTGGGCGGGAGGTGGTACCACTCGATGCAGCGCTGGAGGTGGCCAAAGCCGATCGCAAGGCCGCTGGCGACGGCGGCGGCGAGAAGCGCAGCAGGGTCTTGGGGTAGGCGCCCGCAAGCCCCGAGACGGCGCAATTTGTGGCGTCAAAGGGCGGCGGCTCGGCCCCCGAGGTCGCCAGCAAGCTGTGCATGTAGCGGTGCACGATGCGCTCGGCGAGCCACGCAAACTCGTAGTTGCAGATCGCGACAACAAAGGCGCAGAGGTAGAAAGGCGCGCCGTGCGGACCGTACAAGAGGTACGACACGACGAGTGACCCGAGGACGAGGGCCGAGACCACGCGCTGGACAAGGTTCGACTGCCTCAGCGCAGCCCAGGACGGCGGCGCGCACATGTGCGGTGGCTTCATGCAAAGTGGGCTGGCCAAGTTGCGACAGTCGCGGGTCAGTCTCTTACAATATTACTCTTTTGTATGTTTGTAAGGAGAATGACCTCGATTGCCCCTATTTGGGTGCCTAGAATAGTACGGCAAAACGTTGTTTTAAGAGACTAGACCGAACGTAATGGCCGGAAGAATGCAATCGACACCCTTTCCCCTTTTACACCGTAAGCTGAATTCCTGTGCTTTTGTCGACATGTTGTCCGTACTACACGTCTACATGCGAGGAAGTCTTGCGCCTGTGTGACTACGACGGACCTGCAGGCGACCCGAACCTGACCTGCAGGCGACCCGAACCTCAAAGGCTCGTTAGCACCAAGGTAGTAGCTAGGGCGACTGTAGGCGTCCCACGGTTTCGATAGGCTACAAATGTACAATTGTAGCAAACTCCGCGACTCCGTGGCGAGTTGGCCTCCATACACTATATCACCTCGTGCTGCAACAACTCGTATCTTCCTCAAACGCCAAGTGTGCTTGCTGACTGTTTAAGAATGGCCTGGTCAAGTCCCTTGACACGCAAAAGTGTCAGGCTGGACGCGGAACAGAGTCGTCGTTCATAGCTACTAAACGTCAACCGATGATCGTGTCCTACTGTCACTCGACGTCGACTGGGTATAGCTACGAGGCCGATGGTGGGTGGGCATTGATCGCCGCTTCAAGCGACGTAAAGTCGGTCGTCGGCAAGGGAGACAGCGACGTGTAGCTTTTATACCGCGACGTTCGCTGCAACGGGGTTGGGCACGCGTTGCGTGCTTGGAAAGAATCGTTCCTGGACATGATATCGGCTTTCGCACCATGTCCCTCACGCGGCATGAACGACCGCTGCGTTAAAGACCAGTAGACGCGTGCGCCGTATCCAAGCGTGAACGACTCATGTTGAGAACGTGTCGGAATGTCCTCAGCGGCCGCGACCAACTGCCAAGTGCTCGATCGACGACGAAATTGCGGATGCCTGTGCTTCCCGCCGTGTTCTACAGACGTTGCGACCGTGCACGAGACGTGAGGCGTCGCTGCATCGTATCTTCGACCGCGTCCTAGTCGTCTTAAAAGAGACATACAACAATCAAATCTGAGGGACCATCGCAGAGGAAGCTCGGTGCCAACGTTGCACCCGATCGTGCGTTCGATCCGCTCGCTCTTGTCCCGCGAAGCAGAGATCCAGGACGCGCACTGGCTTCGCCTCGTACGGTCGTCGACGGTTGCTACCGTTACGGTCGCGCTGATTGGCGGATTGGCGATCGGCAATCGCGTTTCGTGACGCCACGTCATGCGGACTGGATCTCGAGTCCTCTCTCTATCGCAATGTGGCGCTGGACGGAATGTACCACATGTGGTAAGGTGCGCTTCAGCTGCATCGCCGCGAACGTCTGGACCTTGGGCCGCTAATCTTTTACGGCATCCGAGACTTTCTTGACTCGCATTTCCCATTTCGTTTCCGACTTCGCACGCCGTCGTACCATGCTTCGCAAAATGCTCTTCGCTCTCCTCGCGTGCGTCGTCACGTTCTCGAGTGCGCTCACGCAGCGCGACGTCGAGACTGCCAAAGGCCTCCTTCGCCAAGTCGCCGGGCCCATCAACTCGAACCAATTTCTTCAGTTTGCCGGGCGCATGCTCCAGCTCTGGTTCCACGACATCGACACCTTTGGTGCTGTCGCCAACGGCGGCCCCAACGGCTGCGTGAACGCGCAGTCGGGCGCCAACGCCGCGGTCCTCGGCGTCATCTCCTCGATCAACCAGATTCACAAGCAAATGCGCGGCGTCATTTCCAAGGCCGACCTCTACGTGCTCGGTGCGTCGGTCGTCATCATGGACTCGATCCCCAAGGGCTCGCCCGTCGGCATGGATCTGCTTGGTACCTTTACGACGGGCCGCCCCGACAAGGCTGTGTGCGACCTTCAGAACGTCCTGCCCAACCCGACTGGCGCGATTTCGACGGTCCAGCAGGCGGTCTCGCAGCGTCTCGGCTTGACCAAAGCCGAGACGGTTGCGCTCATGGGCGCGCACACGCTCGGCGGCGCGCACACGTCGATCTCGGGCTTCACCGGACCGTTTGATGACACACCGGCAGTCTTTGACAACGTCTACTATACGTCGTACTTGACCAAGCAGTGGATCAAGAAGCAAGGCCAGTCGGGTGTCTTCTGGGCTGCCAACGACAACTCGGGCACGATCCGCTTCAACGTCGATATGTCCCTTGCGATTGACACGTCGCGCTGCCGCACGAACCAAGGTTGCCCGCTCCAGCCGCAGGGCACCATGGACTGGATCAAGCTCTACGCGTCGGACGCGGCGCAGTGGCACCAGAACTTTGCCTCGGCGTTCCAAAAGGTGAGCGCCAACGGCATCCGCGGCCTCGTGCCTGTGTCGCAGCTGCGGGCCTAAGGTGCGCCGCCTCTTGTCCTCCACGTAAATCTAATCCGAGTGCTGTTTTTATCGCCCACCTTAATGTCTTGTATCCCCTACCCCTATATCTGTCGTGGCCCCGAGGTCTTCGAGCTTTGAGTGGTCATCACGTGAGCTGCGTCCCTTGCACAACGAGCTTTACACGACCGATGAATGGACCACTTAACTTCCCGCTACTCCATCTGAATTTTGAGTGTTTGCTTGCAAGGACACGGATCAAAGACGCACAACCAGACAGAATAAAACAGCGAAACTAGCAAGGTCTTAACTCAGGACAACGTCGATGAGCTCGTCGCCCTCCAGGTCGTACTCCTACATAGGTAGACAAGATGAGCGATACATCGTAAAAGCAGTAAATATAGCAACCGAGAAGGGTTGGTCGGGGTGCATGAACTCGCCGTCGATCTTGAAGCGCACGTTGGCCGGATCCAAGTGCCGCTTGGCGCAGACCTTCTGCACTAGTGTCTTGACAAGCGCAGTCTACACCCGCGTGAGCTCCCTCTACTGCATGGCGACGCACCGTTGAAATCTTAAAGGTCTCCGTTTCGGTGGAAGGAAGAAAGCGGAGGTTGACGCCGAGGGCCGTCGGATCTTCGGCGATCGCTTGGTCGCACGCGGCCTCGACGACATCGGTCGCGTCGAGGCTATAATACTACAACACATATTATATCGTCTGTCAAGCCCGTGTCGCGCCAAAGCTACGGATACCGAGACGGTCTTGTCCAACTCGAGGGTGTCGCCCAAGAGCTTGAGCGTCACATGGTCCGGCGACAGCTTGTGCACGTTGCAGAACGAGAGCAGGAGCTTTTGCACTGGCATGCTGCTTGAGATGCGGTAGATCTCGATCTTGCCGCCCGTCCGCCGTACTTTGACCCGGATAATGTCTTTGGCCGGCGATTTCGCCGGCGATTTCGACACGGGCTTGGCCGGCGACATGGACGACGGGACGTACGCTCGATCAAAGTCCACGATGGCGTTGACCACGTCGTTGTCTTCGAGGTCGTAGCGCTAGATGCATAAGGCGATGGAGCAAGAAAGCGAGGACGCTTGGCTGTACCTCGGGTGTGTCCTGGAGCTCGATCGCGACGCCGTCGAAGACGAAGCGGACGCCGGCCGGTGCGAGGTCGTGGCACTCGCAGAACTTGGTCAGGAGCGTCTCAAACGTCGCCGTCTACACACATCTCGTCAACTCGACTCTTTGTTCTCGCGAGAGGCTTCTACCTGGGGCATGCGAATGCGCTCCGTGTGCTCGCTTCCGCTGGGTGGTGTCCATTGCACGGCGAGCGTGATCATCGCATCGTCGCCGGAAAAGGCGTCGGTCGCGACCACATCGACGGGCTGCACCTTCCTAACCAGTCGCATCCTCGTCATGAGGTCGATGCCGTCGATCAATGATGGACGAACCGCAAGATGGCTTGCGTTCGCTGCAGCACCGGGTCGTTCGCAAGCTTCATCTGGATTTCAATGTCGTTGGTCGCATCGTCGTCGTCGGACGACGAGTCGTCGAGGTGTACGACGCCGTCCTGGTCTTCTTTGGGCGGCGACACCAAGGCGCGGCGAATGGGTCGGCGGCGCAGCGGCGAGTCGGTCCCAGAGGGCGGCGACGTCGCCTGCGAGGCGCCGACGCGCCGCCGCTTGACCGGCGTGACGTTGAGCAGGTTGTCGTCGTCGCTGTCCGAGGCAATCTCGACTAGAAGCAGGCAAAATGAGGCGGCTACGAGGCGGCGCGGAAGGCAGCGTACCGACGATGCGCCGCTTGCTGTGGTCGGGCACGTACTCTTCGCAGTCCGAGTCGCTGCTCATGATGCTGTCGGCCCAATCCAATAATCGGCTTTTCCAATCCTACACTATCACTGGTTTCGGCATGTGCCACATTTAGAGAATAGTGTAAGTGAGCACCCGCATGGAACGCGATGCGATTGGCCAAAAGCCGTGGCCAGTGAACGTGAACCGCCAATCCACGTCGTCAGAAGGTCTTTGTGCGTCGCATTGGCCAATAGCGTCCGATGTCGATTCTTTTTTACCAATCAGATGGAATCCAAGGCCGACTTGATAATTGCGACGCGTTGAGACGACTTGCAAGTTGATACTTGATACTACGTGGAAACTAGCATACCGGTTCCATTGCTCGATGTAGTCGACGCATTTTCTACAAAAGTGTCTTTGGGTATCAACTGTAGTTGGACTCGAGCGAAAAATCTGCGAGCAGGTAGTCTCGGTCCGAGAGCGTCATGGAACTTAGCGTCTCGAGCGGCGAGAGGTCGTCGGCGGCCGACGTGTGCGGGCTTCCTGCTGCCAGACTCGACCGCGGCGACGCAAATACGGGAATCGACTCGTTCTCGGTCAGAATGAGCTCGAGCTCCGAGTCTTCTGGCTGCGAGCCCTGTCTCGCTACGAAGATCAAACTTGGGGGCTCGGGGCGACTCGGTCGTGGAGGTTGCCTCCCGGGGGGGCGGCGGGGGGCTTGGTTCCCGCTCGAGGTTGGTGGCCGCGGTTCAAAGTTGTTAATGCAGATACATGTCTGGTTGCGAACGAACGGGTCGACAGTCTCGAGCGACGAGGTATCCACGCGCTGCGGACCGTAAATGCGTTGCCGCAACGCCGTCCGCTTGACCTCGGTAGCTTCGCGGACCGCGTCGGCCTTCAACTGCGCCGGCGTCGGTGACGACGTAATGAGCTGCTTGTGTATTCGCTGCAGATGGACGTTCTTGACGGCATTCGAGGCTTCAAATGCTTGCACCGAGTACGTGGGTTTCTGCGCCAAAATGCGCTTGCGGTACAGCTATCCAATCGCACTATCCTGCAGCCGCAGGATAGCAAGTATCCAAGAAAACGCACCTCGTTTTCCTTGGCGATGCGAGCGCTCTGCCGCACACGGTTGCGCTTATAGCCGGACACAAGGGTGTACTGGTTGTGGTTGTCGATCTTTGGCAGCATGTTGGCATCAATGCACGTGCCCGGTGCAAAGGCCGTCGCGCTCTTGATGCTTTTCGCGGACGGAACCATGATGTGCGCCATCTTCTCCTGTCATAATGTGAGAAGACGAGGCCTACGGCAGTACTAGTAGGTGTACCATGAGGAGCGCATTCTCATACGTTATCTTGTCGTGCATCTCTAGTACGCGATGAGCAGCGTCATTGGGGCGGCCATGGGGTCGCACCAGCAACTTGAGTGGCCTTTTTAGCGTTGAAGTCGAGGTGGGCAAAGGCGCGGGGGCTCGTAATGTGGCAGAGACCCTTGGAGCTGCGGACGTTCTCCAGAAGAAGAGCAGCGTTGTGCGAGAGCTCTCGTCGGGCGCAGAGTACGTTCGCGACCGGCATGTCCTGGTTGTGGACCATTCTAATACTGTACTAACCCAAATTGCACTGGACCACGGCAAAGTACAATCAGATAGTTGCTGAATGAAACGTTACGGGACGGGTTTGATCGTTAGCTGCACTCGCTATTGTTGCTACGATGGTTGTTGGTGCGGCTGTCTTTGGCCTGGGCGCTGGGCGCCGAGCGCCTGGTTGTTTCTCGCTCAGGTAGTGAGGTTGAGCTGTGATCTTGAATTTTGAGTGCTATGGCTCCAAGAGGTGGCACATGCCGTATTTAGCAATCAACTGACCCTTTGCATAAGCCTATAAATACCCGCCAATCCCATTGGATATCCGGATAGCCCTCCGGAGCACACATTGGAGTTGTGTTCCTGTGGTGGACGGAAGATGCTGCGCTCTCTGCATGGCCGGCCACTGTGGCGCCGCCCGAGCAGCTTCATGCGTACGGTACGGTGCATGAGCCATGCGGCGACACGCCTCGAGAAGTGGAACGCGGAGCTCGCGCGCCAGGCGCGGGCGGCGACGGGCGCGACCCCGCCGGCGACGGTGCAGCTGGTCGTGCCCTCGGTCACGACGCCGTATTCGCCGACGATGGCAGCCACGCCGCTGCAAGCGATGCAGCAGTTCACGCAAGCGACCGGCGCCAAGATCCCGCCCGTGGTTGGCGCGACGATCTCAACCAAGACGGACGAACAGATTGTGTGGGACCTCTCGCGGCCGCTCCCCGAGACGACGACGCACGTCGCCTTGCATGACTTTGACGACAAGCGGATGGAGGCCATGTTCTGGCACTCGTCGGCGCACGTGCTCGGCGCTGCGCTCGAGGCCAAGTTTGGCGACGACGTGCTCTTGTGCGATGGCCCGTCGCTGCCCGACGGCTTCTTCTACGAGATGTACCTGCCGTCTGGCCGCACGCTCTCGGAGCATGACTTTAGCGACATTGAAGCAGAGATGGCCAAAATCATCAAGGCGCGGGCGCCGTTCGAGCGACTGCAAGTGACGCGCGACGTGGCCAAAGACATGTTTGGCTACTCCAAGTTCAAGCTCCAGATGCTCAACAACATCCCGGCCGACGAGCCCATCACGTTGTACAAGTGCGGAAGCTTTGTCGACCTCTGCCGCGGCCCGCACCTTCCGCACACGGGTATGTCTCCATACCTGCCTCTCTCTTGCATACTCTACGGATACCGGGTGGCCATGCCACGCAGGTCCATCGTGGACTTGGCCACCTGCACACATGTATCCTATAAGAAAGCATGACTGGCGAACACCTCAGCGATCTAGCATTGATCCTACTGAGCTACAGTTGGACCGACAGCCTCCTCTTCCTCTTATCTATTGTGCGTGCGATCGCTAACTCCTCACCGTGCAACTAGGCATGCTGCAGACGGTCGCGCTCACCCGCTGCGGCGCGTCGCACTGGACGCACGGCTCGGAGCTGCTCCAGCGCGTGTACGGCGTCACGTTTCCGGACAAGGCGCGCATGAAGGAGTGGAAGCATCTCCAGGCCGAGGCCAAGAAGCGCGATCATCGGTACCATCCCATCTCCAAGGCCCAACTACACATGTATTTTGTAGGATCATTGGCAAGGCGCAGAGCCTCTTCCTCTTCCACCCATGGAGCCCCGGCAGCTCGTTCATGCTACCGCATGGCACGCGCATCTTCAATCGCCTCGCTGCCTTCATCCGCCACGAGTACCGCAAGCGTGGGTACGACGAAGTCGTGACGCCGCTCATCTTTAAGAAGGTAAAGATTCAGATCCAGATTGGGAGCTGAATCGCACGTAGGAACTCTGGGAAACGTCGGGCCACTATGAGAACTACAAGGAAGACATGTACAGCGTGCGCCCGGGCATGGACGACGACAAGCCCATGTCGTGCGCCGACCACGCCAACCACGCGGCCTTGCAGAGCGACGACGACGGCGACCTCTTTGGTCTCAAGCCCATGAACTGCCCGGGCCACTGCCTCATGTTCAAAGAAAACAAGGTCTATTCGTACCGCGAACTGCCCGTGCGGTTTGCCGACTTTTCGGCCTTGCACCGGTACTTTCGAATCTCAATCTGAATCTCAATGCGAATGAAAATATATTGACATGTAGGAACGAAGCGTCGGGGGCGCTCACGGGGCTCACGCGCGTGCGCCGCTTCCACCAAGACGACGCGCACATCTTTTGTCGCCCCGATCAAGTCCAAGACGAGATCCAGTCGTGCCTCGCCTTTATCAAGCACGTGTATGGCGTCTTTGGCTTTGAGTTTCAGGTAGCTTTGAGTTTCAGATTCGTATTGAGATTGATGGGGGGATGGTAGCTGCGGCTCTCGACGCGCCCGAGGCGTACATGGGCGACCTGGCGCTCTGGGACTCGGCCGAGGCGCAGCTCGAGGCAGCTCTCAACGCCTTTGACATGCCGTGGACGCTCAACGCGGGCGACGGCGCGTTCTACGGCCCCAAGATTGACATTGCAGTCCGCGATGCTCTCAAGCGCGAGCACCAATGCGGCACGATCCAGCTCGACTTTCAACTGCCGCTGCGCTTCAACCTCAAGTACGACGGCAGCGACGGCAACGAGCACACGCCCATCATCGTCCACCGCGCGGTCCTTGGCTCGATCGAGCGCATGATGGCGATTCTGATCGAGCACACGGCGGGCAAGTGGCCGCTCTGGCTGAGCCCGCGCCAAGTGGCCGTCCTGCCGTTGACCGAGCACCAAGAAGCGTACGCGCAGCAGGTGCACGCGGCGCTGCATGCCCACGACGTGTACGTGGACGTCATCGGGCACGGCAAAACGCTCAACAAGCGGATTCGGGACGCGCAGCTCGCGGGCTACAACTACATTGTGGTCGTCGGCGAGAAGGAAGCGGCGACCAACGAGGTCAACGTCCGGACCCGGGATGGCAACGCCGTCCTCGGCACGTCGAGCGTCGACTCGTTTGTGGAGAAGATCCTCTCGGAGGTAGCCGCGTTCCAATGAGATTAATGCAGAGTAGAGGTATGACTTCGCGTTGGATCGTTTGCGCCTGCCGCTGGCCATCGTCATGTGAACAGAGTCGTTGTGCAGTCGCGCCGCATATCGAGTACTGACGCAGCATCATGGGGCGGGTGCAGGGACCAGCTTTGTGGCCTCGTCGGTCTCTACTCTTGCCGGCTTCCTGAGAGGGATCATCAGTTTCTACCTTTTATGGGTTTTGTAGTATCAACTTATGGCCTTGGTGTTATCCAGAGTAATTTATCACCCCTGGTATTGTGGTCGACAGCGAGTAAAGTTGAAGACTCCAGCTAAAATGAGCACCATTCCTCCAGATGGTGCCCAACTATGGGCGAGCAGAGCTAAAGGTCCCCTACATTGCGTGTACCACTCACGCCTCACACGCGTCTCCAGCGAGCAGACGAGACCATCTCTGCTCAAGTCCGCCCATCAAGCAATTTTTGGGCATTTCCGTTTTGCCCGCGCCTTTTTTCTCCAAATCGGCGCAATTTTAAATCGCCCCTCACCTTGCTCACTCACGAAACACAACCTCTCTTTTCGTCGCCGCCAGTTCAAGTCCCATGACGTGCATCGATCTACGGCGTTTGCGGGCACTGCAAGTTTGACGGCGCTGTTCGACGGTGGGCACTGACGAAATGACGACGTCATTTTTGGCCCTGACGATCTTGGTGACGTGGCAGCCGGAGAGCTCGCTTTTATTAACAGGTCAGATCGTGGTGTGTGACATACCATGGCCTTCAATCAAGGTTCCAAGGGCCCTTCTCAGACATAATACGATGTCTCAGACGTACCCTGAACACGTTGCGAGCGCGTGGTCTCGTGATGGGCTATTTTAAATGTCGTGATCGTGCTTACATATATAGCTAGCTGCCTCGACGCCATGAGTATTTCCCACGGGCGCAGGGCCAGTGTGCGTCAAGGAGATACGACACCACATACAGTCCCTTGACGCGTCTCTCCATGGCGCTCATTTTTCTCTTGGTTGATGGAAAGACTGGATTTGTAAGCGCCCTCGCGGCGAGGCCATTTTAAGAATTGGAAGACGCCATTATTATTATACTGGCGGCTCGTACAAGATGGCGTCTGAGAGGCACCTAAATTTGGCGTTGGATTTGCTATTCGCGGCGTGTCAGTGTACGCATTCTTGCACCGACGACTACCGCCAGCGCACCGATGGCAACCGCTACCGCACCGACGAGGGACAACAGTAGTATGCCCCAGGTCGCCGTACCATCGCTACTTTCCCCTCGCGATGCAGAGGATCTGGACGCGGTGGCGGTCGAGATTTCGCCCCCCGACGCATCCCACCCTCTCGAGACGCCGTCGGACAGTAGCAGGCACCTCGACCTCGGGGCCGACTATGGCTCGCTGCGCGTTTTTCTACGGCTCGTCCAAGTGTCGGCGCCGATGCGACTCCAGCTGCTCAATGACGCCGCCAAAGATCTCGCGTCGATGCACGACCATGGGTACTATCACGGCAACGTGTCGTGCGCGGCTATTGGCGTCTTCGATGCCGTCGGTGGTGGCTACAAGGCCAGTATAAGGACCCACCGCGGTGTCCCGATCGAGGACAAGTTGAGTCTGGCGGATGCGCAGGCGGCCGACGTGTGCGCGTTTGGCGGCTGCCTCATCGAGGCGTACCGTGGCGTGGTTCACGTGGCGATGGACGACCGCCGCCCCGACACGATGCCTGTGGATCTCTGGACGCTTGCGAGTGAGCTGCGTCAATCCGGGTCCGAGCAGCGATCGATGACCGCCGTCGTCGGTGCACTTACCACATTGGCTCAGCAGACGCAAGCGTCAACTGCCGTGCGATTCGACGATGTAGCGGCCAAATCGATGAACGTCGATGGGGCGGCACAGACCAAACGTCGCGGCGTGAGGGGCTGGGGCATTCTCATGGCATTATTGCTGGTGCTCGTCGCTATTGGCCTCTGCGTCGCTCTGATCCCGTCATGGGGAAATGCGACGGCCGACGCCGGAACGGGGAACTCGACATCGACACCAACACCAACCCCGACGTCGACACCGACGCCGACGCCGTCGTCAATGCCACTGGCCAACCGGTCGTACAACGTCTCGACGTTTGCCGGCAACAGCCTTATCACGTCCTTTGTGTACCCCCCGTTCGGCATTGCTGGCAACGGTACGCACCTGTACGTCGCCGACACACCGACAACCATCATGCGCATCAATATGAACACGAGCAGCTGGACGACGTTCGCTGGCGGCTTCAGCAGCGGGTTTACCGACGGCGCCGGCTCCAACGCCACCTTCAACGGTATCCAAGGCATCGCACATACCACGAATTCCGGGTCTGCTGGTATCTTGTACGTGGCCGACTCGGACAACAACGCCGTGCGCGCGGTCGATGCCAGCGGTGTCGTTACGACGGTCGCCGGCACCGGTGTCCTGGGCGATGCCGACGGGAACGCCAGCACAGCCACGTTCTACATGCCGAAGAGCATCGCCGTCGCCAACTCTACGATCCTCGTTGCCGATACGTACAACTACAAGCTGCGCTCGATCAGCGGCAGTGTCGTCTCGACGTTTTCGGGCTCGGGCATCTCGGGCCAAGCGTCGGGGCTCTTGCCGACGTATGCATTTCCGTATGCGCTGGCGATGGCGCCATCGGGCGTTGTGTACGTCACGGACGGCAATATGGTGCGCAAGATCGCTCTCGACGGCAGCGTCACCAACATTGGCAGTAGCACGGCCGGCCACTCAGATGGCACCGGTACCAGCGCCGCCTTTGACACCCCAACCGGCGTCGCCGTCGATGTGGATGGTACTGTCTATGTCGTCGACACTGGCAACCACTGCATCCGCGCGATCGATGCCAATGATAACGTCATCACGATCGCCGGTGTTCCGGGCTCCAACGGCATGCAAGACGGTGCAGGCAGCACCGCCATGTTCAGCGGTCCCCAGTTCATTTACATCGACCCCGATGGTGTGCTCTACGTCACGGACTCGATGAACTTTAGCATTCGTCGGCTCGTGTACACCCAACCCTCTTCATAATGGTCTCTAAAAATGTCACCCGGGACGCCGCTTGACCACTCGAGTCGGCTCTAGATAAAATTGTCAGATTTGTAGATAGAAGAACAAGAGACGGGGACATTTGGCCAAAAGCCAATGTAATCCCACAGAGTACACCACCAGCCGCGCGGCCCTGCAGAATCTTTGGCTTGTCATCAATTCGAGAAAAAAGATCGGTCGCATCTCGTACCGGTATGCGTAATTCGTTTGATACCTCACTGGTCCACCGAGTTGAGTTCTCTTAGGCTGGAACACAGTTGACACCACCCCTGTCTCGCATACAACGAACGTGAGGGTGGGACGTACCGAGCACGGCTCGAGTGCACATGATATGGCAACCCGCATTGCGAAGGATTAACGATTGAATGCGAGGAACCACACTGTCAACTGCTATTCCAATGCGGTCGAATACGAAATTTCGACCTTCGAAAAGCTCGTTTCGGTATCCAGCAACCATTCAATACACCCTTTATTTGCTCCCGGCGTTGGAAGGTTAAGACCACGTAGGAAGAGTAGTGTCTGCGTCGAGCCCACACATCCTTTGGTTGGATGATATGTCAAGATGGCTTCAACAAAGTGAACGTCCTAGAAAGCTACGGAGAGGGTGTCGGAAGATCCGCGACGACCAGTTCGTTCATCGACCGGTTCCCGTCCCAGCCACCAAAGAGAAAGAGGTGGGAGCCCACGACCGCTGCGCTGTGCCCGTACCGGTTCGTGACGTGGCAGCCCTCTGAGATGGGTTGTGACCACACCATCGAATCGCAGTCGATCGCGTGGACGTATTTGGAGACCCCGAGGAGCCGGCGGTAGTCGACGGGCTGCGCGTCATACCCGCTTTGCAGCCGCTACACCCATCATCGTCATTGTCAGTTGGAAGAAAAGAGTCAACCTCTTCGCGCGCCAGTGCTTTGGCCGTCGTCCGCATCGCTTTGTCCCCCATGTAGATGGGACTGCGCTCCGTGCCCGACCAGCCGCCGACAACGTACAGCGTGCGACCGACCATCGTCATGGTGTGGCTAAACGTCGGGATTGGCTGGTCCCCGGTGACGCGCGGCCGCATCCACGCCATGGTCTCCGTGTCCAGCGTGTACAAGTCGTTGAAATACTCGACGCGGACTTCGGGCACCATTTTGACCGATTGCCTGTAGTAGATATGGACATCCTTTTGACCAAGATGTGGATATCAAAGAGTGTACCCGCCATAGAGAACGATGCGGCCGTCGTCGAGCAGTGCCATCGAGTGGCCATACCGAGCCGTCGGCGGTGTCCCCGCCACGTGGGGCTGGAGCCACGCAAACGTCTCGGTGTCGAAGACCCATAGGTCTTTAAAGGTCTTGTTCTGGCCGTCCCAGCTAGCACACTCATGGTCAACATTGTCCATCACATTGTGTACAACGTAGTACCCGCCAAAGAAGACGAGCTTGGTGCCGACGGCCAAGTCCGAGTGGCCAAACCGCTCGGGGGGCGACTCGGTCGTCCAGTTGACGACGTACCAGTGCCACGTCTCGAGGTCGAGGTAGTACATGTCTCGATAGATCTTTCCCTTGTCGCCTTTACCGCCAAACACAAACATCTTGGCCCCTAATTAAACCGTACAATACGACAATAAGATGGATGTCCCTCGTCGAATAATGCGTGTACCGACGAGCGTCGCCGAGTGGCTGTAGCGCGGCGCCGGCGGCTTGCCTTCGCACTTGACTTGAGACCACGCCGACGTCTCGAGGTCGAGGACCCATACTTCGTTCAGGTACACAAACCCGGCCTCGCCGCCAAAATAATGACCCCCAAAAAGCACGAGCTAGCTGCCCTGCCAGCAGCATCGAGTGACCACCGCGGGCCGTCGGCGGGGAGCCGTCCATC